AATGCTTTTCTCAAGAATAGGTCATGCCAGACTAACTTGTCTTTTTTTTTTTTAAACGGTTACTAGACTTGATTGGAGAATACAATATAATTTTCCTAGATTTGAGTGACTAAAATTTAGTCAGTCATTTGACAATGTCTCTCATGCTAACTTTGTGGAAGAGTTAAGTGAGCTAGGTGCTAGTATAGATGGATCTGGAACTGTATGGACAGGTCAGAGTAGTCATGGATGGCTCCATGGCAATTTGGAAACACGTCTCCAGTGGAATGCCTCAAAGATCTGCGGTAGGTTCTGTGATGCCTAACATTTTAACCAATGATTTGAGATTAAGGGATTGATGGGTGTGCTTATCAAATCTGCAAACAACACAAAGCTGCTGGGAGAAACTGGGCTAAAATGAGCAAGACGAAATTGAATAGGGAGAAAGGCAAAGTCATACTCTTGGATTCAAAAAATCAACATCCTAAATACAAGATGTGGGTAGAATGGCTAGACAGAGGTTTGCCTGAAAAAGATTTTGGGGTTTTAGCAGGCTACACACGTGCTTAACAGTATGATATGGCAGCTGGCAAAGCTAATATGATCTTAAAGAGTGCATTAAGATTCAACAAGCACTTACTAAGCACATGGTGTATGTCAGGCACCGTGAGAAGTGCTAGGGACACAAAGACAGGCAAAGCAACAGAAAAGGAACTTCTATTCTAATGGAGAGCCCCAGTGTGCAGGTCTAGGGAGGTCCCACTACTCTGCACCCTGCTCAGACTACATCTGGAGTATGGTGGTTGGTTCTGGGTGCCACATTTTAGGAAGGATGTGGATGACTGTCCAGAGGACAACCAAGATGGTGAAGAGAGTGGAGTTCATGCCATCTGATTGGCTAAAGGAATAAAAAAGCATGTCATGGCCTCCCTGTGGGTAGAGTGTCAAGAAGGATAATGTACAGAATGGAAATATTTATCATGAAAAGACTTGGTTGGTATGTATATCTTAGATCTAGAGCTGTGGAAGGGCCCTCCGGGGCCATCTAGTACAACCTCTTCATTTTACAGAGGAGGAAACTGAAGCCCTCCCTGAGGAGGTGAAAGGGACTCCTGTGAGATTACACATCAGACCCTAGATAAAGACTTCCCAACTCGGAGGTCCTGTGGAATTATGTATGGGACTCCCCGAATTCTAGTTACAGGTAGCATTGTGGAAATGGAGTTAAAGGTCCAGCAAAGCTCAAGCCTGATTAGATGTTTTGCTTGCCCAGGGCTTTTTGGCAAGGGTAACCCTAAAACTACCTTCTGAACCCCTTCTCTGACTCACCCTCAGGGAATAATTCAATAAGCACCTTACTTCTAAGTTATAATCTTAGTTGCCCTACTCACCTTGTCCCCAATAACACTGCAATTATTTTTAATTTTCTTGCAACTATGATTTGAAAATATTGTGTGTGTGTGTGTGTGTATACACACACACACATAAAATTTGTTGTGTTAGACATTTACACAGGATTTGGTACCCCAGTAAATGATCACTTTGTGAGTTTCATTTGAAACTTGAAAAAAATGTATATTTCCCGTCTCTTCCATGTATTTCACTACATACTAAATAGCTTAGACCTGTGATTTCTTTATTCTAGATTTGTCACTCTCTAGTAACAATGGAGTGTCAAAGTTGCCAATTATATCTTTCATCTGATTCTTGTGATACTGATAATCTTTAAAAACTGGCTTGCTATTACTATTTCTGTCTTCACTTTGTCTCTTGGTTCTTTTATATTGAAAAATTTTTAATCAAATCCAGTTCTCTGATTTGGTAACTATGTCCCTTTCAACATTACATAACGCTCTTGCCTGTCTCTTTCAAGGTATTCTGATTGGAATTAAAATTTATTTCATATTACTACTGTTTCTATTCTAACACCTAAAGTTGTATAACATATTTTAGACCAAGATTTCAAATTTTAGTCCACTGCCATTTTTTTTTACATTGTATTAGCTTGCATTGCAAACTATGTTTTTTTAAAAATCCATTCCATACCATTATCCCTTTTAATAGGAGAATTCAGATCCTTAACATTTAACATCATTAAGTATTAAATTGAATTTGTCTCTGGCATTACTTTTTCTATTTTTCTTCTCAATGTTGTCTAGAAGAAGTGATCTCTACTTATTTTTCTGTAACTATTTCTACTAAAACTCACGAATAAATCTGTTTGTCTGTTAAAGTACTAACTCTGTATAATTCCCTGTGACTTGATTCTTTTTTTTGTTAAATAGATGAGCTTTGCTTTAAGAAGCACTGGCTCCTCTCCTTTTCCTCTTCCTTTATTTCTTGACAATTTTTAAATGACTTTTTCTTCCAAAAACACAAAAACCCTAAACAGTTTAACTCTTCTTTTTCATCACATTTTTTTAAAATGTCAGATATAAATGTTTATATTTCTCTTATAAAATCTTAATCATTTTGCTTTGCAATCAACTATGTGTAACCACATGTTTAAATTATCCTGTACCAACTATTTGTTTGGACTTTTCAATGGTCAACTTTTGCCAAATTCTTTTGAAGTTATCTTGGTTGCTCAACATCATTTTTATGCCTTCAAACAAAATGTTCAAATTTGTAAATGTAAGAAATGTAACTTTCAGATCCAAGCCTATTCTTTTAAAATTTTTGCCATTTCCTCCTTGTCATGGCTGAGAAATTTGGAGATTTTGATCTGTACTTGAAATATTATTTTTTTTCTTCATCATTCTGAAATTTAGTAAGTTACATGTTTTCTGGATGTGAACATGGGATATTTTCAGGCCAGAGTCCTCAAGTTCTGCACAACTGCACAGTGATGCCTGGTGGTATCTATTCTGTTAAGTGTTCTCCAATTACTTCATCAAAAATGGAGTCTGGTTTTTCTTTTGTGATACCTTCTGGGAGCCCAAGTAGCATATTGTTTTATCTGCCAAATCTTTAGCTACTTTTTGGACTTGTCCAATTGTACTGGAAGGAAACACAGATGCACGTCTTGCAACTGTATCAAGAGACATCATGCCATCTGTACTGGAGAAAACACTCGATTTGGAGTTGGAAGACATGGCTTTCAGACCTTACCACTTATGAGCTGTGCAACCTCGGGCAAGTTATTTGACTTCTAGGATCCTATTCCTTCCTCTGTAAGACTGGACTAGGGTTATATAGACCATATGGTAAGAATAATGACAGCTGACATTATGTCACTTTAAAGTTTGTAAATGTCATTTGCATAAGATTTACATGTTATTTCATCTGATCCTCAACAGTATGAGGAAGATACTGCAGATATCATCATTATATGAGAAACTGAAGCTCTGGGAGATTAGGTGATTTGTCTGTGATCACTAAGCTAGTCGAATATTAAAAGTAAGCTTTAATCACAGGTATCCAAAATTCAGTCCTTTTTACTAACTCACATTGCCTTGAAAGGTCTGTTAAGGATTAAATGAGATCTAGGGTGTAAAATACTAGAACAATATTATCTATTATTATTCATTCAACTTTGCTCAGATAATTACTTTTGTGTCTACTGTCATTTTAATTTTCCGTGCTCTTTTGCACTGAGAGGCAGCTTGGAGTGGTAGTTGTAATGCTTCTCAAAGTGTGGTAGGGGGAATCTCTGGGTGTCCCTGAAACCATTTCAGGGTATGCATAAGGCCAAAACTAGTTTCATAATAATACTAAGACATTTTAATTCCTAATATGGTCATATTTGATAAATATAACCCACATAAAAGGTCTTTGGAGGGGAGAGGTCCTCAAGAATTTTTAAAAGCACAAAGGTGTCCTGAGACCAAAAAGTTCGAGAACCACTGGAGTAATATATGGAGAAATAGTCTCAGGGCTACGGAGATGTGGATTCAAACCCTACCTCTGACATCAAACAGCTGTGTGAGGCTGGGCAAGTACTCTAGGTAAGTTTCTAAGACTACAAGTTGCAGAGAGGGAATTTACCATTCCAACTTGCATTGGTAGACCGAGTTTCCTGAGCTATGCCAACAAAGTCACAAGGCTGGTCCCTATCTTTGCTTTACATTTTCCTTCTATCTCTTCCTTGGCTTTTTTTGTGGCTGAATTAGAATCTTCCTTTAATGCAATCATCCAATTTATTTTCCCAGTATTTGTGGGACTGATTCTGCTGGCATTTCTGTCTTCATTTTGTCTCTTGGTTCTTTTATTTTGAAAAATTTAAAAACAAATCCAGTTCTTTGACTTGATAACTATGTATTGGACAGTATTATTCTTTCCCACCTTGAATAACTTGAGACTTAAGGTAACCCTCTTTCCTTCTCCTTCAGTGGAGGTCATCCCTGAAGGTGGGATCAGAATGGAAGATCAATGAATTTGGAATAAGAGGACTTGAGTTCCAATCCTAGCTCTGAGTAACCTTGGAAAAGTCCTTCAATTTCCTCGGAATCTGTCTCCTCATCTGTGAAATGCAGGCAGTTTTCTACTCCAACTCCAACTCTGATTCTCCAATTCCAGCCCCAGCCCAGAGGCCAGGTACAGTAGTTGCTGTCAGATGCTTACCAGGCTGTGATCCACTGTTGCCCAAAAGGGGGCCTGCCCTTTCATTCTTCTCTTGCTTCTTGGCCTACCTACATGACAGGCCTGGGCAGCAGCTCAATCTCCTTCTCAGACCCTTTGCTCCTAGTCCCAGGGTTACAGCTCCAGGCCTTGCTCCCTTCTCTACCTCCTTTCTGGTAGTGGTGGTGGTGGCACTGGCTTCAGGCTTCCCCTTCTTAGTTTGAGGGGTTAATTCTGTTATACCCCTACAGTTTTTGTTTAAGGAATTTGGGGGAAGCTAGTTCCCTGGAAGTCTCTGGTTCAAGACAGTTAGGGTTTCTCTCCATGATGCATATTCTAAGAGGCATTAAAGGCCAAGTTCTACCTGAAGGATTTTTCAATGACAGACAACATTTCTCTCCACTGAGAATAATGGTATACAATATAAAGTCTGTCAGCTGAGTGACATCTCTCCTGTATTAATCACATTCACAGAATTTCTCTCCACTGTGAACTTTCTGATGTCGAATAAGATGTGAGTTCCTACTGAAGGCTTTTTCACATTCATTACATTCATAGGGTTTCTCCCCACTATGGATTCTATGATGCCGAATCAGGTGTGATCTCCCCCCAAAGGCCTTCCCACACTCATTGCATTCATAGGGTTTTTCTCCATTATGTATACTATGATGATCATTAAGAGCTGATCTCCACCTGAAAGTTTTCCCACATTCGTTGCACTCATATGGTTTCTCGCCACTATGAATTCGCTGATGTCCGATAAGATATGAGCTCCTACTGAAGGCTTTCCCACATTCAGTACATTCATAGGGTTTCTCTCCACTATGAATTTTTTGATGTTGAATGAGGTGTGAACTCCAGATGAAGGCAATCCCACATTCATTACATTTATAGGGCTTGTCTCCACTGTGAATTTTTTGATGTCCAATAAGGGATGATCTCTGACTGAAGGCTTTCCCACATTCGGTACACTCATAGGGCTTTTCTGCATTGTGAATACTCTGATGTCGAATGAGATGTGAGCTTCTGCTGAAGGCTTTCCCACATTCATTACATTTATAGGGTTTCTCAGTCCTATGATTTCTCATGTGTCTCACGCATTCTGAATTTTGCTTGAGGGTATGGTTATATGAATTATAACTCTGGGGCTGCTCCCTCATCAGATCTCCCTTGTGGGTAATCGGATGGCGGCTTGGCTCACAGCTCCACTCCCGCCCACGGGACTCACGGTTGCTCTCCTCTGTGACCCTTTTCCTGGGGGTGACAGTCATAACAAGCCTGGTACTTGGGGGCTGCGAAGGGGAATACCTCAGCCTCTTCTCTGCTGGGTTTTGTTGGGGCCCCTCTAACCTGCTAAGATAGGCAAGGTTTGTAGGTTCCCAGCCTTGTTCCCTAGGGATCCCTGCCAATAAAATCCACTGAGATTCATCATTAGCTACTTCCTGATTATGAAGAGATTCCATGTTACCCTTCTCAGGCCCATCATCTGAAACAAAAAGAACAAAACACAAATGTCACCTATTCTCTATAGCGCGAGCAAGATCATCTAGGTTTCAGCAAGGCATTTGAGAGACTATTTCATGAAATGATTGTGGCCAACATGAAAACATATGGACTGGATGATGATGCTGTTAAATGGATGAGGAGCTGTCTAAAGTGCCCCGACCTAGAGGACAGTGATTACTGGGCTGCAAATTGTCAGATGACAATCTGAGGGGATGTCTCTGATGTAGTGCCACAGGGATCTAGCCTCTGCACAATTCTGTTCAATGCTTTTATCAGTGAATTTGATGAAGGTAGCAGATGGCACGTTTGTGAAACTGGCGAACGACACAAAGCCAGAAGGCACAGCTATGTGGAATATGGAATGAAAGACCCAGGGTCCAAAAAGCTGACAGGTTGGAACAGTGAACTCAGTCTAAGAAGATGAAGATTAAATAAGGATGAAAGTGAAACACTTAACTTGAATTAAAAAAAACTAATTGCATGAGTAGAAGATGTGAGAGGCCTAGCTAGAAACAGATTCTACACAGATTGAATGCGCTACTTTAGTAGGGGGGAAGACACGTGTTACTAGAGGCCTTCAAGCAGAAGGTAGCTGGGGATGCTGGAAGTCCAAAGCCACGTTTGGGGTAGAGGCGAGGTCAGATGACTGTTCTTCCCAAGACTCACTTCTGCTCTTTCCTCAATCCTAAACAAAAGCCTCTCTTCTTAAATTAGCTTTATAAATACGGCAGTATCACGCATCTTAGCCATTTCAAAGGTAAGAAACATTTCAGAGTCAAATTTGAAGAACTATAAACACCCAGACACCTCCACTTAAAAACTTACCCATTTGAACATCAGTACTGAAGCAAACCTTGGCTTTTCTTACTTATCCTGCTTTAAGAAGAAGCTTTTATTTTTCTTCTAAGAAGCCTGCCTCCAGCTTCTAATACCTGACTTTTAGCTCTGACTGCCCAAGTGAAAATTTCTTATCTATGTTCTGTTCGTTCCAGGGACCAAACATCCCTGCATGACATTCGTTCAACTGTGAAACTGCTTCTTTCTCCCATGGTTTTCCCAGCTACCCTATGCTTCAGCACTTGGCCAGAAGGCAGAGTTGGGGGTTTTTTTGGGGGGGAGGGGCTGGTGGCGAGCAGCTTTTTTTAAAAAAACTACTCAATGTTCCCTGGAAACAGCTTTAAGAGCCCCCTCCTACATCCAAACCAATTGATGTCTAAGTTATTTTGCTTCCAATTCTTTAGGATTCATCGTTGGCTTGCCCAACACATGCCCTGGTCTCCATCACAGGCCACTTTGTAAAGTGGCTCTCTTTGACTTTGTCCTGGCAGAACATTAACAATACATTGGAAGAACGCTGAAGTAGAGACCCACAGTGGTTTTCTCTCAAAGCTGGGCAGCTCCCCACGTGGCCTGTTAAGCCAGAAAGAGAAGTGGAACTTGGGAAAAACAGGGCAGGGCAATACAATAAGGTAACAGAAAAAGCTGGCACAAGCTTTCCTTCCTGCCAAACAGTATGGACAGGAAGTCTGCTTAGGGACTGGGGGCTGTGGGGGCAGGAATAACTACTTGGCATTATGAGTGGAAAGAGGAATGTCTACCTATATAGGAGGTGTGAAAAAACAGACCCTATAGAGTTTGGAAAGAGGTGTTCTCAAGAAGGGAATTCAGGAGAGTCCCGCCCCCACGCCTACAGCCATGTGCTCACTGTCCACATTGCCAGCCTCTTGGCCTCACAGCAGCTCACAGAGCTAGACTGAAGCCCCACCTCCACAATATGCTCCCCTCAGGGGCTCTGGCCCACACATGACTCTCCTTTTTGAATCCTTCTGGCATTTGTTATCTGTAACATGTAACACATACCTTTGGACAAAGTGTTCTGTTCTCTGACCGATGTTTTTCAGCGATTTATATTACGTGATTTTTTTTTTTTTGGCCCAAACCTGTGGTTTCATCAGCGTAGGGAACTGAGTCCTCAGAGAAGACAACCTCCCTTACCAATGCCTAAGGCACCGAGAGATGAAGGACCGGCCCAGGGCCCTACAGCCAGGTCAGGTCAGAGGAGGCCCTCAGCCCCAGACCTTCCTGATTCTGATGTCAGCTCTCCAGGCACTACACCAATGGTATTTCTTATTATGAGAGAGAGAAATGACACTGCCTTAGACACTATTAGGGCCAAAAGAGACATGAGAAATCAACTGCCTTATCCTAAAGGTGACAGGAGTGAGGCCCAGATTAGAAATGACTCCCCCAAGGTCACAGAGCTCTCTCCACCCACCACCCAATTTTACTTTCTTAATTAGATCTCAAAGCTCTCTGCTCACTTGGGCCAAATCTTAAGCTTCCTCAGTTTGTATGCCATAGCACCTACCACTGGTAAGTCTCCAGGCACTCAATAATGCTGGGGGGTTGACATCACTGCCTCACTCACCAGGCCAGGTGGTCTGATCGTCTTCTGTTCCCTGCAGATCTGGGACCCAGGGCATTTTTCCTTGCTCCAGCTGGGAGATCATTTCAGGCTTGCAAAGAGAAAGACCTGCTCATGTGGAAAGAAGAGAGACATGAAATCCCTCACCACTCCCTCAAGTGATCACCCTAGAGCTTTCCTCCTACCCCAGCCAAATTTCTGGAAAAGGAAGGAAACACACATTTCTTAGGCACTTAATAGGTACCAGGCACTGTGCTAAGGGTGGGGGATACCAAGAAAAGCAATCCCTCCCCACAAGGATCTTACATCCAACATCCTAACAGAGGAAGACCACACATATATACACGCACGTGCACACACATACGCACATAAATGCACACACACAGCCTGTATTTATTGCTTCCTCTTTCTCAGTTCCTATTCATTCCTACCCCCTGTATTTTGGCTTCCATCCCCACCACTCAACTGAAATTCCTCTCTCCAAGGTCCCCAGTGCTGGTGGTTTTTATTGGTAAGTCAAATGGCCTTTTCTTGATCCTCAACCTTCTTGACCTCTCCAAAGCCTCTGACACTGCTGACTTCTCCATCCTGGATCCTCTATCCTCTCTGGGTCTGCGTGGCATTGTATTGCTATGGTTCTTTGCAAATCAATCCTCAGTCTTCTTTGCTGGCTCACCAACTTTATTCTACTCCCTAGGCATGGGTGGACTCCAGGGTTTTGTCCTGGGCCTTTTCCTCTTCTCTCCTGAGGGTTACACTATCATCTCTATGACTCCCACACCCACACATCTTGTCCTAACCTGACTCCTGAGCTCTAGTTTCACATCTCCAACTGCCTACTGGTCCCACCACATTCCCTTGCACATCCAGAGGCATCTCAAACCCAACATGTACAATATAGAACTCGTGATCTTTCTCCCTAAAGCCGCCCCTCCCCTCCTAACTTTCCTATTTCTGTCACAGGCACCACGTTCTTCAAGTCACCAAGGCTCCCAGTCCAAGTGTAACCTGTGACTCTTCACTAGGCCCTGCCTAGGCCCTCCATCCCGTCCCCCCCCGCCCCAGCCAATCAGTTGCTAAGTCTTAGACTCCACCTCACCATCTCTTGTCTCCATCCCCTTCTTTCTACTCATTCTATGACCATGTTCATTACGGCCCCCATTGCCTCTTGCCTGGACTATTGAAAACAGCATCCTAAGAGGCACCCCCAAGGTAGCCCCACGTCTAGCCTCTCCCCTCTCCAGTCCAGATATTCATCTGCCAATGTGATTTTCTTCAGGCTCCTGTCTGACCCCTCTGCTCAAGAGACTCCAGGGGCTCCCCCATTGCAAGTGTCAGGAAAGAAACTGCTCTGTTTGGAATTTCAAGCCCTTCCCAGTCTGTTTTGTGCCTGCCTTCCCAGGCTGGCCACACGCTATACCTCTATGGTCTGGCACCGCGCACCGCCACCCTAGCCTGTTTTATTCCTCCTCCCATTACAGTGGCTACCTGGACAAAGTGGGTGGGCAGAAGGATTGAGGAAGCTACCAAGAGACCATCCCATAGAAGCCCAGGTATTTCTGGAGCAGCCTATTAAAACTAAGAGGAAAGAGGCAGCTAGAAGGTGACGTGCTGGGCATAGAAGGATAATGAGTTTGTTTGCCTGGCTAGAGAATGGCAAAATCAAAGGAATGAGGAGGCCTGTACCAGGAACCTGGGAGAATTCCAAGGAACGAGGCCAATGGAAAACATCAATTAATTAACATTTATTAAGTGCCTATTATGTAGCAGGCACTGTGCTAAGTGCCAAGGATACAAAAAGAGGCAAAAGCCAGTCCCTGCCTTCAAGAGGCTTACAAAAGCTGCCTATTTCCAACTCCAAGTCACTCTGAGCTGTGAAAGGGTGAATGAGGTCTACACAGCATTTTCCCTACTAGACTAGCTTCCCCTCTGACATATGTATCATCCAAGTCACCCACATGAATCAAATTTAACAAACATTTATGTTAAGAAAACATTATATGTAGTAAATTATGCTTAGCAGTAGAGATCTAAAGACAGACAGGCACTGTGGCACACAGGATAAAGCACTGGGCTTGGAGCCAGGAAGACATGGGTTCAAGTCCTACCACAGATATTTATTAGCTGTGTGATCCTGTGTAAACCACTTAACCTCTCCAGACCTCAGTTTGCTCATCTGGAAAATAGGGATAATAATAGCCCTTGGCTCTAGTCTGTGGTGAGGATCAAGGAAAAGAGTATATGTAAAGTGCTTACCAATCTTAAAGAGCCATGTGTGGGAGCTGTTATTACTATGGAAGATGACATTCTCCCCGTCCTCACAGAGCTCATCAGCGGGTTGGGGGATGGCAGATATACATAAATCACTGTAATAAAAGTTGGACTGTGCCTGACCCATAACAGAGCTAGTAAGTGTCTAGAAGGGGATTTAAACCTAGCACCCTATCTCTACAGCAGTCAGAGGATCACGTGCTCATACAGAGTCATCAGCACATTGTCTCCCTGTTAGGCTGTGAGCTCTGAGGGTGAGAACCGTGTTTTTGCCTTTTTCTGTAGCTGCAACACTCAGCATGGTGGCTGGCACAGAGTAAGTGTTTAATAAATGCATGTTGACTGACTAAATGACCACCTTTGCCCAAGTCATGGTCCTCTGCACCTCTCTTAGGCACCAGAGGGTCAGTGACTGGGGAGGATGGGCTCCCTTCTGGTTGGGGGGAAATCGAGGAAGGTTGTACTTGAACTGTTTCTGAAGGAAGAAAAGGACTTTCAAAGATAGAAATTCACGACTCTCTTTTAGGCAGGGGGACTGCTTATCCAAATTTACAAAGATAGTATGATTGTGAAACAGACTGTGATTTGGTGTGGCTGGACTATAAAGTGCAGTGAAGGGAACTGTGTAAAATCAGGCTGTGGAAGGAGATTGGGACAGCCTGGGGCTGTCAGGGAATTGAGTTACTATTTTATTCTGCAGGCAATGGGGAGCCACTGAAGGTTTTGGAGCAGGACACAAGCCCCACATTTTAGTCCTTCTCTGTGCTCTCACAGCTATCACCCTAGTGCAAGCCTTCCTCACCTCTGACCTAAACTGGGGCAAAAGCCTCCTAACTTGCCTCTCTGCCACAGGCCTCCCCACTCCAGCTCACCCTCCACACTGATGCCAAAGGGATTTTCCTTGAATGCAGTCAGTCAAGAAACATTTATTAAGTGCCTACTATGTGCCAGGGACTGTGCTAAGTGCTGGATCACAGATCTGTCCGTGACACTGTTACTCAAGCAACTTCAGTGGCTCCCTATCACGACTAGGATGAGATGGAAACTTCTCTGTTTAGCCTTTAAATCCCTTTACAACAAACTGGCCCAACCTATCTTCCCAACTTCACTGGACATTATCTCCCCTTCTACACACTGCTATGTGGCCATTGTGGACTTCTCTCATCCTCACCCGCCATACTCCATCCCCTGTCTGCCACTTTCTTTTCTTGGGATGCCCTTCCTCCTCACCAGACCCACAGAGTTCCTCTTTCCTTCAGGACACAGCTCTAACACTACCTAAGAAGCCTTCTTGGACTCCCTCCCCATCCCCACCTCCTGGTGCCTTCCTTCCTTCCCTCTCTCCCTCCCAACCTATCTTCTATTTAACTCTTCTGTATTTATTCTCTTTCTTTCTATGCACCATACACTTACAGACAAACTTCTTTTCTCAAGCACTTACAATGTACATTTCCAAGCCTAGGAATTGTTTCATTCTTTGTACTTGTATCCCTAGCACAGTGCCTAGCACATAGGAGGTGCTTAATAAAAGCTTCTTAAAAATAATTTTTATTACTTATTATTTAGATCTGTACATTAAGATCACCCAGGCAGAGATGTGAATGATGGCTGAGAGAGGAGAGACACTGGATGCATGGAAAACAGTTGAGAGGTTATTACTCCAGGTGAAAGTTCATTAGAATCTGAAGAGGAATGGAGAGGAGAAGAAATACAGGAGAGACACTCTGGTGGCAGATTGATACGTGGGCTCTGGTAACTGGTTAGATTAGGACAGAGAGAGTGTGGTAGGCAGAGAAGAGTCAAAGATGTTTTCCAGCTTGGGTAACTGGGACAATGATGGTGTCACTGATAAAACCAGAGAAGTTAAGAAGGGTGGGTTTTGGGGAAGTTTTGAACATGCTATTTGAGACATAATGAGACATCCAAGTGGAGATGTCCAGGAGGCAGCTAGAAATGCAGGATCAGCACTTGGGGAACAGGATGCAATGGGGTTCCAAATTTGAGAGTCATTGGTATAGAGATAATAATGAAAGCCATGGGAGTAGATGAAATTGACAAAGGAGAGCACAGAAGAGGGCGAAGGACAGAGCCTCGGGCAAAGCCCACATTTAGGTCTTGGGAGGAAGAGGAGTTCAGAGTTGGAAGGGATCTATAATGTCATCTAGTCCAACCCATACCCGAAAAAGAATCCCCTCTCTGATAGATGTGATCAGTGGTCATCTGACCTCTGCTTAAAGATCTCCTGTGAGGAAGACCCACTACCTCCTAACAAGAAGGAAGTGGTTGTCCACAATGTCAAATGCAGCAGAAAAGTCAAGGAAGTGAAGAACAGAGAAAAGACCAGTAGATTTGACGGTCGCGTAATTGCGGAGAGCAATGCGGACGACAGAGCAAGGTTTAAAAAGGCAGAGCAAAATAGAGTTGAGATCACAGGCCTGACAAGATGGCACAGTAACTGCCTTTAGCAACCCCAAGTAAATCAAACAAACCACAGGAAAAGGAATGATGCATCAAATAGAGAGAAACCACAGCTGAGTCCACACGATAATTACGTATAAACACCATGAAACAAGTCAAGAGTATGGTGAGCACAAGCAAACTCAAAGACATAATTCAGGAAAAAAACCAGCTGGGGTCTGGCCCGTCCCCCTGGAATTTACTCTGGGCAGTGCCCTAGGCCCAGACAACCTTCATACCCAACGGCACGATGACACCCAGCCTTGGTGGTCTGGTCTGGGCAGCACTAGGAGGCAAGTGAGAAAGAAAAAGCCCAGAAAGTCCAGAGAGAGAGAGGCTGGACAGAAACTCACTTACAAGTGGCTAAATCGACAGAGAGG